ATTGGAGAGGAAGATCCAATCGATGACAGATGCATCAATATTGGACAATTGATTTTGAACACATTTAAATCCAGAGCGGATTTTATCGGCCAAGTATGATTTATATTAATAATAATTAAAATTATGCTGTAAGGAAATATATAGAAAAAAAATTATAAATTATCAATGTAAAATTACATAATTCTAAATATAATGCATTGCATTATTTTATTGCATGTTCCCTGTCGTAGGTAAATGCAACGACGGGAGCAGAAAATACATTCCAGCAGATGAGAGAAAGGAGCATAAAATGTGCATTATGGCTGAAAAAATTCGGTGTTCAACGCAATGACGTTATAATAGTGTATTCTCACAATCATTTTAATACTTATATACCATACTTAGCGACTCTGTATATCGGGGCTATTTTATCTGTATGGCATGAAAGTCGAATAAGTAAGTAAATTTTTTTCTGAATTTCTGTTTTATTTATTATTATGACAATATACATGTATGTGTATATATACTATCCCTTAATTCGCCACTTTACGTATAATTGGTCGATCAAAGTTATGCCAGCGAGTTTCTTTATCGAGCGCATGTGCATTTCATCGTTCAGTCTCACGTCATCTTCATGTTTGTATTTTTTATCTCATTGCTCAATATATATCTTTAATTTGTTTTTCAGAAAATTTTATTCACGCGGATCGCGGATCATGCAAGTTATCATCGGATAATATCTTCATTCTTTCCGTTAGATGGACGTAGCATGCAGACTTGTGCGAATCACTGGCAGAATTCAAACTCTGGAACCCGAACCGGGCATGAAAAACCGGCATCCGGCATCAAAAACGCGTGACGCGTAACGTGTCAACATGTTCAGTAAACGTGGTGCGCTGATAGTTTTAGATTGCGATCGGGTGCGCTGATAGTTTTGGAGGGTTGCGATCGGGCCGGCAAATCTACCCAAGCGAAGATGTTGATGAACGCGTTGGACGATCTACGGATTCCTGTGAAAGCCCGAGCTTTTCCGAGTGAGTTATAGAAAAACTTCTCGTAAGATCATCTGAGTCGCAAGGTTATGTTTAGGTTATATTGCGCGGGAAAAGATGTTTTCGCTATTAACGGAACAATTTAATATTAAAATATTGAAAATATTAACAAATGAAAATTTATATGTCAAGTATGATTGTTATTGAAATCAGCATCGTAATGCGTTATTTTTTCTTCAATTGCATTGTGCTGTGAATGATATAAAGCATCAACTTGCACGTAATGGTCGCCTTTAAAAAAAATATTTTATTTTATTTTTGTAGACAGAAAGACTCCTGTTGGAGCTATCTTAAATAGTTTCCTGTCAAAAGAAATA